ATACAGACACACTGACTGGACACTCCAGTACATTAACACTGCACTGAGAGAGAGAGGGGTTCATACAGAGACACTGACTGGACGGACACTCCAGTACATTAAAACTGCAATGAGAGAGAGGGGTTAATACAGACGCACTGACTGGACACTCCCGTACATTAACACTGCACTGAGAAAGAGAGGGGTTAATACAGACACACTGACTGGACACTCCAGTACATTAATACTGCACTGGGAGTTTTCTCTGTCTCACCTGTGTGGTTTTTGTCTATTTTTCTGAACTCCAGGAATCTCTTCAGTGTTTCCATACAGTCAATCTCTAGGAAGGCTCTGATATACTGGTTTTTAACCCTGTTCTGGTTCCAGTCCCTCTGAGTGTCCTCTGCCTGTAGGGAACTTGCTCTCCAGGTCATAGTGTCCACCTCAAAGGACAGGAAGTCTTGTCCATTGAAGCCGTAGTGATCAAACAGAGCCACACTCCCATCATCCCCCAGTCTACAGCCTCACCAGCTCTGGAGCACATCTGAAGAGAGAGACTGAGGAGACTAACAGTACAGACAAACTCCCATCATCCCCCAGATCACAGCACATCTGAAGAGAGAGAGACCGAGGACACTGACAGACACAGAGACAGAGGACAGTGACACACACACACAGAGACTGATGACACTGACACACAGAAACAGAGGACAGAGGACAGAGCGAAGGGCTGACTGACCTTTCCCCATGTTGCTCCTCGTCCTCAGGATTCCCTGCAGCCTCTCCCTGTTCTCCATCTCCTCATGCTCGTAGTTGACATCTCTGAGGCCGGCAGCTCTGCTGGGCCAGTGGCTGGTGTGAGTCTCTCTCCAGGAGGCGCTGTCCCAGTGAGAGACCGTCTGCTGGTCCAGAACCCTGGAGATCAGGAGCTGGGAGAGGAGCCCCGCCTCCGACACTGCTGTGGAGGTGTAGACCAGCCAGTGGGAGGCCGAGGCGCTCTCTGTGTGCGGGGGAGCAAAAAGAGAACAGCACTGTTTCCTTAGCACTTGAGTGCGGACCTTTTAATTTCAATTCAATTTATTTTGATATAGCACCTTTCACGACAGGTTGCCCCAAGACGCTTAACAATGCAAGTGACCATACATTTGTGTGAACACAGAACAGAAGATCAGAAGACAACCTTTGCCATTTGCCCTTTGGGCATGCTAACGTTATACAATTAAAAAAAAAGAAATAAATGAATGAGGGTATTAATCCATCCATCATGTCTTCTGTGTGTCAGTACTCCATGCAGATCTCTGTAGAGCAGCAAACTCCTCCTAAATGATAGCTATATCCAGACAGATAGCGCCCATCTAAGACACTGAAGAGATAAAGTTCCTTTCACATGCTGGCCACACACTTCTGAGACGAGGAATGGGCCTGGCGGCTCCTGTTCTCAAAGGGAGAATTTTTTTTTTTATTGGGGTGATCCGAACTTTTCTCGAGAGCTGGCTGACAAATGTGTCGTGGTCATTTCAGACAGACGGTCAGGCAATCAGACACACACCTACTTGCAGGCAGACAGTCAGACAGACACAGGCAGGCAGACAGTCAGACAGACTCTCGCAGGCAGTCAGACAGACAATCAGACACATACCTACAGTACTTGCAGGCAGTCAGTCAGTCTATCAGACAGACTCTCGCAGGCAGACAGTCAGACAGACACTTGCAGGCAGTCAGACAGACAATCAGACACACACCTACAGTACTTGCAGGCAGTCAGTCAGTCTATCAGACACTCTTGCAGGCAGACAGACAGACTCTCGCAGGCAGTCAGACAGACACAGGCAGGCAGACAGTCAAGACAGACACTTGCAGGCACACAGTCAGACAATCAGACACACACCTACAGTACTTGCAGGCAGTCAGTCAGTCTATCAGACAGACACAGGCAGGCAGTCAGACAGATAGAGTCAAACTGACACAGACAGTCAGACAATCAAACACACACCTAAAGTACTCGCAGGCAGTCAGTCAGTCTATCAGACAAACACAGGCAGGCAGTCAGACAGATAAGAGTCAGAAAGACACTTGCAGGCAGACAGTCAGACCGACACACACCTACAGTACTTGCAGGCAGACAGTCAGAGAGTCTATCAGACAGACACAGGCAGGAGGACAGAGAGGAAAGCTGGCAAACAGGCAAGACTGATGAGGCTGAGGTACTCACTGGTAAGGCACAGGGCAGACATCACAGCCAGACACGACAGCAGGCTCCTCATCGCAAAGGGACATTAGATCATGCTGTGTCAGACCCCAGTGTCTTTCACACAGGAGGACATTTAAAACATATATGTTTAATACTATTTAAAAATATGTTTAATATTTTTTATAAACAATCACAAAACAACAGATTCAATCCTTCCTGCCCCCCCCCCCCATCCCCACCTAAAACAACCACCCAGTCCTGAAAAAAGAGAAGAAACAAATTAATCAAAAAACCCATCCAAACCGTCCATCCATTTTCAAACAGCTTAATCCAGGACAGGGTCACAGGGGGGAGCTGGAGTCTATCCCAGCAAGCAACAGGCACGAGGCAGGGTTCACCCTGGACAGGACACCAGTCCATCACAGGACACACACACAATAACACACTTATTGTGTCTTTGGATTGTGGGAGGAAACTGGAGCACCCGGAGGAAACCCCCACAAACACAGGGAGAACATGCAAACATGCACCCCAGGTTCTGAACTGATCCCAGGGAAGGAATAATAACCACTGTGCCTCCCCTAGACATATATACCTTTTATATGTATGGAAAGATATATATAGAGACATGTAAATATCATTTCTCAAATCTCTCCCACGCAAAACACATCATCGCCCCCAGACCTGCAGGCATTTGTTTTTCTACAAAGTTTCCTGTAAGGTCGTGTGGAAAGTTTTGTTATTTCTGATACGAAATAGAAGTGAAACTCTCCAGACATAAGTCGCTTCGACAGCAGGACAAGTCAGGCGTCTCTGAAGTCCGCCTAACGCGTCAGAAACTGCTGCGAGTTTATGCCCTGGCTCATTGTCGTTGTTTTATTCGGTTAGGCAGTTTAAAGTATTTTTAAGTTATAGAGAGCTCTCGGCTTCCGTCTCTGGACAGGTTTACGATGATGATACACACGTTTCCTTGTTCTCTGACTGGCTGTGTGGCAGCCATGTGTCGAGGAAACGGGAGAGAGCAGGAAGAGAATGAAAGAGAGAGAGAGAGACAATACACACAACCCTAAACAGACAATATACACTAGCCGAATATTTGACCTAGATAAGAAACAGCAAAAAGAAACACACCCTGACGAAGTACACACTCATTAACCACAGCCTAGCCATAGAAACTGGGTGACACAGGCAGACCTGGCTGTCCAGAGAGGACAGGCTCAGTAACCACAGCCTGGACACACACACTGGACACAGGCAGACCCGGCTGTCCAGAGAGGACAGGCTCAGTGACCACACCCTGGACACACACACTGGACACAGAAAGACCTGTCTGTCCAGAGAGGACAGGCTCAGTGACCACAGTCTGGACACACACACTGGACACAGAAAGACCTGTGTAGCGGCAATGCTTGTTAATAAGACAGAATTAAGCGTTGGTATGCTGTCCTAAAGGAAGCCCCATCTCACCCTCCATCTCTGTGGTGCAGCCACAGAGAAAGTATTCATGCAGGCTGATTTAAGATGTTTTCTTTTGATAAGGAACAAGCTCCCAGACGGGGATGCACTTAGCTAAGCCTGGCTATCATGATCAATGGTCATCCATTGGCGCCTATCAGTCTAGAGAGTGCCGAATGGACATCTGGACTGCATTCCTAAGTGTCAAGAGTAAGTGACTTATATCTCATCTTGACCAACCAATCAGGGACTGGCAGGGCGTGGTAATACCACGTGGGTCTCCAATGCCCGTCAAACTCTCAACCAATCAGCACACATCTGGGTCTTGGTCAAAAAGGGAGTGCAAGCTCAGATCAGAGCTCTCCTTGGCCATTTTCGCGCATCCTCAGAGACAATCACGTGACAACTGCTGTTGTCTGCAAAAGGACTTGGACTTTGT